GACGTTTTCCGTGTGGTATCGCATCGCAGACACCACCGTCGTAGCTAAAGATGAGGCGACATCAAATTTTACGATGTCGTTGCTTCGTCTATTTAGATACAGACACACCGCTCCGCAGACTCGATGGAATCTCCATAAAGTTTCACTGCGCGTGTATACAACTGTTCTGCGTTCTTCGGATGACCAGATAATGCTCCGTGTTTCTTCATTATGTTTCGCTTTGTAAAAATGGACTATTCTTGAAGGAAGGTTGATCAGAAGATAAATACAAGACATGCTACTTACTGGCAGGATGGATCATAGTAAGTATGAAGTGTGATTAAAACTGCAAAATTCATTTCTAATTTTTTGTTCATGAGAAAAACCCAAGTATGGCAATTTATGTCGAATACGACGTGGATGAAGAGTAACATGGATTCAGGAGGTCCAATTTTGAATGACACTGGTGCATAAATCCGGGTGAATTTTAGGTATGGTCTTTGGTTTAATTGCCTTGAGGGCATTGCTGGATGGTAGTTTATCGGTAAATACTTGCAGCTGAAATGGATCACGGTTGCAAATTTATGCAACTTCTGCTCGATATAACCCTTCTTAGAATGGGCTCATGTAGAATCTTCATTCTGGCGTGTGTGGCACACAAAGATTATTAGTACACTACTGTTAATACCCTCTTGAATACTTTTTGAGTGCTCTAGGCAACTCCATCTGAAGAAAGTGGTCATAACTAACGAACTAACTAGCTAGTATCAGTACGATGCATTGTACATCACCTTCTCATACTGTTATTACCTCCAATTACTTCTGGATTTTGAAGTTTTAGTCGTTATTTTGAAATGACGAAAGCATTTCATTAGCTCTAGATTTGAAAAGCTGATAATGCGTCAAAAACCTCCTGTCCAAAATTTAAATGTAAGCACGTGAAACATGGCTTCAAGTGGGTTGACTTTGTACTCCTTACACAATTTCGTGATCAATTAGACTATGTTTTTCGACATACATGGCATGTTACCCATGATACGCAAAGCAAACACAATTTGTCAAATATTCGTCACTACTGGAATTTCCACTGACCAGTGGTGAAATATCCGCCGCACGGCTATGGCCTGCCTGTACCTTTGCCGCCAAGACCAGTCAATTTACTGGTGCCTTCGGGAGGGGATGCGCTCGTAGCACGGGGAGCAGTGAGACAAATAGTCATGAATCTAGTCAATTAGCATGATTGAAAATTTTAGTTTGTCTGATAGGCGCAAGATTTGACGTTTCTGATGAAACTGTTCAACTATGCACACAACGACTTACTCAAGTAGTCAGGTAAGCCGAGTTTCTGTTCATATAAAATAGGTACACAAGGATATTTTAATACAAACAGATACTAGTACAGGGCCTATCAATAAGTCACTCTGCTCTTCATCGTAGATCACTACTTTATCGCATGATCATGTCATGATTGTCTTATCTTTCATCTATGGAATCTTGAATTAGTCCATCGCAAGTCTCCTATTAATCATATATCTAGTAATTGTGTAAATACTCAAAATGATGGATATAAACCCAAGCTTGGTAAAATACACTATAGAACTTGAAGCCGGAAACCCATTCAAGAAGTAGCTGCCGAGCTAAGTTAGCTCGGAGGATATGTGTTCTATTTTTAAATTCCGCGGGCTCCTTAAAACTTTGAAACGGTTACGTCTGTGTGTAACAGCCTCTTAAAACTTTACAACCTGGGGCGTTCTTCCATTCTACAACCCTAATGCAGATCCAATTAAAGTGTTTCCTCTGACGTAATGTTAAAGGACGACCGGCGGTTGAAAAAATACAACATGCTTTTGAATAACGATTTTGACGACAGGCGTTTCGTTACGGTAGAGCGACGTTGAAAATACTTACTAATTAGAGTTCCTAGTGCTTTTCTTGTCCAGAGTGGTGGAAGGTGAAAAGTGCGAATTCGTTGTCTGTTTTGAGATATTTTCTGTAGAAGATATTGGGAGCGTTCAGCCAAAGTAAAGCACAACATTAATCGACATACTATCAACATCTAACAGCCCACTGAAAATTGCTTTCAAACTAACAAAGTTACCCAATAGCTTTTGCTATTCAGTGCACCGTTCGACTGGTCTACGTTGGCTGAATGCTCCCTGTGACATTTAGGTGTTTTTAGTCCGATACCGAAGAAACTTTGGAGGAGGTCTTTGAAGCAATTAAGTGTAAAAAAACTAAAAATTGCATTTTGTTAGAGAATATTATTGAGCATAGACGGAATATACTAAGTGACATATATCCGAACACCCAGTTTAAATGGTTTTATTTTAATAAAATTTTGTATAAGTACTTAATGAAGCATTATAAGTAAATGATAAAAAATTCAAAATGATTGCACTGCTTTAAAGCCCTTTGACCTTTAATAACGTGTGGATGCACCCTGATGTGCTACGTATTCTCCAACGCGCCTAGGCATGCTTCTGATCAGGTGGTCAATGTCCTCCTGTTGTATCTCATTCCAGGTAACCAACAACTCCTCTCGAAGTGCTTCTAGAGTCTGAGGAGGACGTTGCAAATTGAGCAATCTCCTACCCATCATATCCCACACGTGCTCAATTGGGGATAAGTCGGGAGATCTTGGTGGCCATGGTAACAATGTGACATCATTATGTTGAAAGGAGTCTATTGTGACTCTTGCAACATGTGGTCGGGCACTATCTTGTTGGAAAGTTGGATCTGCCAGGGTGTCAAGATAGGGTAAAAGATGGGATTCTAGAACTTCGTGGATATAACGCCGCGCGTTCATGTTACCTCTGATGAAAATTAAAGGTGACCTGGAACCATAAGCTATAGCACCCTAAACCATAACTCCAACAGTGTGATGAACATGTCTTTCAACAAAAAACTGTGGATTCCTCCTTTCACCACGTCGCCTTCTACCTTTGGCATGACCGTCGTGCATATCTAAACAAAATCGAGACTCGTCACTAAAGACAATACTGTTCCATTCCTGATCCCAGAGTGACCGTTGTCTGCACCACTCAAGGCGATTACGTCGGTGTTCTCGAGTTAAAGGGAGGACCCAGTGTGGCCGGTATGAAAACAAGCCAAAACTTCTCATTCGTCGGCAAACACTTCGCATGCCAATAGGTCTTCCGTGTTCTGCAAACCATTCATTTGCAATGGACCTGGTAGTGTAGAAACGGTCCCTTAAGGCCAATGATCTTAGGCGGCGATCTTCACGGTCTGTTCTACGGCGGCGTCCAGTGCCCCTTGCGCGTTCATGCTACCTCTGATGAAGATTAAAGGTGACCTGGAACCATAAGCTATAGCACCCCAAACCATAACTCCAACAGTGTGATGAACATGTCTTTCAACAAAAAACTGTGGATTCCTCCTTTCACCACGTCGCCTTCTAGCCTTGGCATGACCGTCGTGCATACCTAAACAAAATCGAGACTCGTCACTAAAGACAATACTGTTCCATTCCTGATCCCAGAGTGACCGTTGTCTGCACCACTCAAGGCGATTACGTCGGTGTTCTCGAGTTAAAGGGAGGACCCAGTGTGGCCGGTATGAAAACAAGCCAAAACTTCTCATTCGTCGGTAAACACTTCGCATGCCAATAGGTCTTCCGTGTTCTGCAAACCATTCATTTGCAATGGACCTGGTAGTGTAGAAACGGTCCCTTAAGGCCAATGATCTTAGGCGGCGATCTTCATGGTCTGTTCTACGGCGGCGTCCAGTGCCCCTTGCGCGTTCATGTTACCTCTGATGAAGATTAAAGGTGACCTGGAACCATAAGCTATAGCACCCCAAACCATAACTCAAACAGTGTGATGAACATGTCTTTCAACAAAAAACTGTGGATTCCTCCTTTCACCACGTCGCCTTCTAGCCTTGGCATGACCGTCGTGAATACCTAAACAAAATCGAGACTCGTCACTAAAGACAATACTGTTCCATTCCTGATCCCAGAGTGACCGTTGTCTGCACCACTCAAGGCGATTACGTCGGTGTTCTCGAGTTAAGGGGAGGACCCAGTGTGGCCGGTATGAAAACAAGCCAAAACTTCTCATTCGTCGGTAAACACTTCGCATGCCAATAGGTCTTCTGTGTTCTGCAAACCATTCATTTGCAATGGACCTGGTAGTGTAGAAACGGTCCCTTAAGGCCAATGATCTTAGGCGGCGATCTTCACGGCCTGTTCTACGGCGGCGTCCAGTGCCCCTTGCTCTTTGCGTACGGCCTTCTCGAAGCCATGCCTGACAACACCTAACCACAGTGTCTACACTTCTTTGCACTTTAACTGCAATTGCCCGAAAAGAAAGTCCAGCTTCCCAAAGTCCCACTATACGGCCCCTATCAAACTCACTAAGTTGACGAAATCGTACAGGTCTCCGTACTCTAGGCATCGTAACCGATCGTAAAGGATGTCAAGAACCAAAATCCGCCAACGTTGACTCTTTACTGCGGCTGAAATATTCATTTTTAGACCGTTAGTGAATTAAAAAAAAGCAGTATAAAAACCGGAATGTCCAACTGATAAGGCTGAACATTTTTTCACTTGTTATTTACAGTAAGATAAATACATTCACCAACTTTTATTAAAATAGAACCATTTAAACTGGGTGTTCGGATTTATATGTCACTTAGTATATGATAATCGGGGTATTAATACTGTATCTTTCGGTTCAATGGCTTTTACACATCTACGTTATACTCAACGAAAAAATGCTTCCTAAGTCATTGCAGTTCTATGCTGTAGTTTTTTATGTGACGTTAAGGAAAAATCTACACGACAATAAGTCGAAACAGGTTTTCAAACAGTAGTGTTCGCTTATAACGAACCTCAAGGGACCGGCGAAACTGGTTCGCTATAAGCGAGGTAATAAACGATAAATAATGCTAATACCAGAAAATATTTTTCATTAGTTTATTATTCAACCAGGGGTACATAAAATGTTTGTAATATAATAATATCTATAATCAACATTTATAAAAGTTTTTGTAAATCTTTCTTAAAAAAAAATCATTTTCATTGATTCATTAATATGTAATTCCACTTCAGCTAGTCGATCTAGCACACGCTGCGGAGTATTTCGTGACTCAAGGAAATGACGAAGGCTGTCAATATGTCGAAGTGCTTCTGATGTGGTTGGAGTTGGTATCAGTGCCATACCGACAGATTTTTCATCTTTATTTTCCTTCCCTTCGTCATCATCAGTATCAACTGCCGAAGATATAGCAGCTATATTGGCATCATCATCCAGGTGTTTGACAGTGACAACTTGGTCATATTGATGAACAAACTCATTGAAATCGTCACTATCAGGAAGATTGGCTCTAATATCGTCTCGAAGATCGTCTTCCTGTTGAGTTTTCATCCACTCAACTAGTGGCAGGTCATCGTCGGGATCAAAATGATCCTTAACCTCCAAGAAACCCCCATGCGTAAAACAATTTAAAATTGTTTCTTTTGATACCTTCTGCCATACCATGTGAATGATGTTTATTACATCCAAAAGATTGTAGAATTTTCCCCGCCACTATCAATAAAAGCTACCATTCTCGAGAGAAGAAATTGACGATAATGGCTTTTCAAACTGTGGATTACACCCTGATCCATAGGCTGTAGTTTAGAACTCGTGTTTGGGGGTATGAACACTAGGTTAATACAGTCCAAATTTTTAACATCTGGATGAGCTGGACAATTATCCTCTAATAATATAACTTTTTGTTTTTCGCGGCATAACTCAACATCCCAATTACGTAGTTCAGCATTAAAAATCTCAGGGTCATCCATGCTCTTTTATTGGATTTGTAATTAACTGGAAACTGTGAAATGTTTTTAAAACATCGAGGGTTTCTCGATCTTCCAATTACCAATAGCTTTCTTTTCTCTGTCCCTGTTAGATTTGAAACTACAATCACAGTGATTCTTTCTTTAGATAGCTTCCCACCCTCACACTTCTCGTCTTTGAATCTTAAGGTCCTGTCAGGTGTAAGCTTATAGAATAACCCATTTTCATCTGCATTGAATATGACCTCATCTTTGAAGCTCCTTCTAATGATTGGTGATGAATGGTGTCGTCTTTTGAATCTTTCGATCCAGCTTATACTAAATTTAGGTTCTTCACTCAGTTCTTCATATTTCAATAACTTCTTCCCAAGGTCTTCAGCCTTCCATTGCAGTATAGCATCACTTATGGTTACTTTTTTATTTCTGTGTTGAGAAAACCATTTCAGAAGTCCCTGATCAACTTTATAATTCGTGGGCTGTTTAATTTCCTTCACATTTATGTTTTGGCCTTTCTCAAACATTTCCAGTATTTTGTCTTTATTTTTCCAAATTGTACCAACCTGTAATTAAAATGAAAAATTTTAAATCAAATTCATATCTCAAAGAGCTTATTTATGTATGTTTAGGACATGTTATTGTGCAGTACTCACCGTTGATTTACTTAATCCCATTTCAGAACAAACTTCACTTTGCTTCACACCTCCTTGCAATCTTTTGACGATATCGTATTTACTATTTAAAGTAAGAGGTTTACGTGTTTTCTTAGAAATTGCGACACCCATGATTTCAATAGTGCAGGACACTGAATACAACGAATCAAGAAGGTATCAGACTAAATGGCGGTGGCGGACGCTAACGATTGCTCATACCCCACCACGCAGTCGGAAGATTTCGGTTACCTGATTCTGGTAAAAACCAGTTTTAAGCATCCCACAAACCGGCGCGAAATATTCGCTTTGGCTGCGAAAATTTCGCGGCGATGAATTCGCGATCAGATTAAAACGCGGCTGTTTACGGACAGGCTCAGACTTGTGCGAAGCGAATGCGATTGTTCCAGCGTTTTTATTGCGGCGTATTTCAGTTCGCCTTTGACCGCGTTTTTGAAGCCGTTCTTCAAAAATTCGCAATGGCAAAAACGGAGTTATTGATAGAAATAGTGAAAAAGTATCCTTGTTTGTATGATTTGTCGAACGATGAATACAGGAATGTGAGAAAGAAAGACAAGATTTGGATGCAAATAGGAAAAGAATTAAATACAAATGGTATGTACCTAATATTTTTTATTAACTTGTTAAATAATTTACAGTCTACACAAATGTGAAAACAAACATTCTATATATTGGCATAGGCATATCAGAATTAAAATAATTTACGAATTTGTCACGAGTAGAAAATGCTAGCCTTGCTGCCCGCCGAGGATCATTTGCTATATCAGTAAAAGCTCCAAGCACGGGTTCTGGGGGATCTATGAATTGAAAATATTTGTCATCGCCACTTTTACTTCGTAAAAAATTGTGTAAAACGCATGTCGTACCTACAATTAGAATAGTAGTATCTACTTTAGTTTCTAATGGCCTGTAAAATATTCGCCATTTTTGAGACAAAATACCAAACGCATTTTCCACGACCCTTCTAGCTCGACAAAGTCTTACATTGTATTTCTCTTTTCTGACGTCTGTTAAAGTCTGCTTATAAGGAAATGGTCTCATAAGGTATGGTTTTAAAGCAAATGCTTCATCACCAATTAAGACGTACGAGCAGATTTCATTTTGCCCAGGGAGAAATCTCGGTGCAGGGACACTCATTAAATTTTGTTCAAATCGTTTTCCCATGTTTGAGGTTTCGAAAATACCCTCATCACTATTTTTTCCGAAACCACCAATATCAACACATATAGTCCGGGCCAACAATGGTCATAAGTACTATTGAATATTTATGTAAATAGCACCAGTAATTGGAGCCACTGTTGTTAGGTCTCTTGATTGTTACATGTTTAGCGTCCACGCTGCCAATGCAATTGGGAAATCCCCATCTATTTTCAAATTCTTCAGCACATTTTTTCCATATATTCTCTGTTGGTTCTGGTAAATATATATGCTCCATATGTCTGCATATCGCTTCACAGACTTCGGTTACGATTGCACTCACTGTTGTAAAGCCAACTCGAAAGCTATGCCCAATGGTATAGAAGGTGTCACCAGTGGCAAGGAGTCTATAAAAAATCGTTTTTAGGTGATGAAGTAAAAAAAAGGTGGAAGAATATCAGAGACACATTTGCAAAATATATAAAATCTACCAAACCAAAGACCGGCCAAGCAGTGGGCAACATAAAAAAATGGCAGTGGGCTGACTACATGGAATTTTTTCATCCTTTTTTGGCATTTGCCAAAACGACGTCTAATGTGAAAGATATTGACGTCATACATTATGAGACTGCCGAATTTAACTCAAATATATATCAGGAAAGGGCTGGAAATGTAGAAACCGAAAATTTGGAAGACCGCGGCCATGGAGAAGATGAAAATGCTGATGTAGATGCAGAAGATGCACAGAACGCCTCGGCAACACAGACAGCAGCACCTTCTTCATTGAACACTACAGCAGTGACTACTCCAGGGCACACCTTTCCGCAGACTGCAACTACACCAAAATATAAAACGAGCAGAAAACGCTATGAACCACCATCTTCGTCTGTACAACAGCTCATTAATTATTTTGAAGGTAAAAAACCTAAAAAAGAGAACGAGGCCATTGATTCACTTTTCTTGGCACGTGCACAGACTGTGAAAACACTTCCCTTAAAGCGTCAAGCCCGAATAAAACTAAAAATAGTCGAATTAATAGCGCACGAAGAATTTGAACATATTGAAGAAATGTCTTCAGCGTCTACCCAGAATTCTGCAAGTATGTATGATAGTAGTATGTCGTCCTTCCCAAGCGGCACTGGGTTTACTCCAATAATATACCCAACAGAGGAGGCAAATTCTGCCTCGAATTATTTAGCAACATTTAATCCTAGTGGCAACATGTAGTCCAATTATTACAATAAAATATTTATTTCACGATCCCTGAAGTTTTCGTATTCGATAAGCCTACTAATTTTAATACATATAATTTTTTTACCTGAGTGTAATAGCAAGTCGTTCTTCTGGCGAAATAGCTTCACGATAATTTGTTTCAGATTTTCGTATTTCATCTTTCACCAAGTTCAATATTTCATCGAAACACTCTGGAGTCATTCTAAAATATACGTAAAAGCGCTGTTCATCCAGCCGAAGTTGTGGCATCAAGGTATGGTATTCCCCAAATTTATTTCGTTCCAAGTTAATATCATGTACCCACTTCCTTCGTTTCCTAAACAAAATCGAAAATATTTGTTTTATGTACTTCGTTAAACTTAATACATACCCAACTATCAAATGGCGTTAAATAAACATAACTTACCGTGCATTTTGTTCCTCTTCTAAAGCAAGAAATAGAAGTGCCTCCTCTTCTTCTGAAGGCGAGCTCATTGCAAAAGGCAAAAATAAAATGTACGCAACCTGTCGAAACCTTCACGTTCGCGGAGCGAATAAGGCGCTTTGGTATGAATAAACAGGCGAAACAGATTGCGAATTTCGCTCTGAATTTCGTTGCGAATACTTCGCCGCGATTATTTCGCGCCGGTTTGTGGGATGCTTTACGCTAGTTATAACCGAAAAATTTTACGAGTATACCAGTTAGGTTCGTTTTATCAGGAGGTTCGTTATAAACGGGTTCCTTATATGCGAGAAAAATTCAGTATCATTCCAGTCGGTACCTTATAAATTAGTTCGTTATAAACGGAAGTTTGCAATAAACGGGCTTGTTATAAGCGGACATTCCTGTATCTCTAAAACTACTACGTAGAGTAGTTTGTCAGAGATTACTGCTCCGTAGAGATACTCAAGTGATTGAAATGGACATGTTTACTTTCCATCTCTGTAACCACATCCAACTACAGATGGAGCCGCTTCGTGCTCATTAGTGTGGTATAGGATTACTAGTCCTGGAGACAGATGAACGGGAAGCAGAGTTTGTCGGTCGTGGTTTCAGAGACGGAAAGCAATCGTGTCTATTTATGCACATATGAATAGAAAGCCATTGTTTGTTTGTTCTGTGAATACTTGGTATTTCGGTTGCTAGAGAGTTTACCGTTTTGATGTTGCAACATCTACCTGTCCATTGCGCAGGACGTCGATCAGCTACGGTTCGATAGCGTTGTGTTTTTTCTCATCCCTCATCGCACGGGATCAGCTTGGCAAACCATTGGCAGGTGGAGATCGTCAGTTTCTTCTCCTCTCTTCACACATTATTTTGAGATTTTCAAACCGTCATACTCAGGAAGCAGCGGTGGCCGCAGTAGTAGACTCTTCGGTCTCCTGATCAGTCGCCGTGCGCTGTGCGGGTTCGAATCCCGTCCCAAGAGACATTTTTCTCTTGGCTATGGATTGTCCGTAGGTGGTAGACGGTTTCTGACTGTCGAACGCAGAGGTGCCACCCGCCGGATCTCGTAGGCGGGGCCAGAATATGTGCATGTTGCATGCACACGTGTTCCCTTGCCAGAGGCCGTGTGGCGATCCCCCTTTCACTATATCCCCCTATAGCCCCTCGGTACCCCATGGGTGTTTAGGACTTAGGCCTTCGTGGTGGTTGGAGTATAAAAAAAAACTAACCAGT